GTCAAGGACTACCATTTAAAGTTCTTGTATTGATGATTTGTTCTCAAAAGTTCCTTAAGTTCTTTCTTTTCTGCAAAGGATGTGATTTCTTCCTCATATTTGATGGAGAGCTTTCCTACATATAGAATCCTGGGTTTGCAATTATTTTCTTTCAACTTTCTGTTTATGCCATCCCACTTTCTTCTTGGTCTCATGGTTTCTGCTGAAAAATCAGAACTTAATCTGATGACTTTTCCTTTGTAGGCGGCTCTTTGTTTTTCTCATGCTGCTTTCAGTCTTCTCTCCTTATTTTTTATTTCAGAGAATTTGACTGTGATTTGTCGTGAAGTTTATTTGCTGTTCACTTAGCTTCCTGTATGTGGTTTTCCACATTCTTTATAATGTTGGTGTTGTTGTTATGTGCCGTCGAGTCATTTGTGACTCATAGCGACCCTATGTACAACAGCCCTAAACCCTGCTCTGTCCTGTGCCAATCGCACTGCCTCGGACACTCCCATCCTGATTACCCCAGTCACTGAATCAATCCACCTCATAGAGGGTCTTCCCCTCCTGCACTGTCCCTCCACCCTCCCAAGCATGATGTCCCTCTCCAAGGACTTGTCCGTCCTTACACCATGTCCAAAGTATGTCAGACAAAGCTCCAGATCCTTGCCTCCAAGGAGTCTCCCGGTTTAACCCTTTCCAGGATGAATCTGTTTTCCTAGCAGTCCATGGTCCCCTCAATGCTCTTCTCCAGCACTACAGCTCAAAGGCATCAATTCTCCTTCTATCCTCCCTAGTCATTGTCCAACTCTCTGATGCATAACAAGTTATTGTAAATACCATGGCCTGTATCAGGTGCACCTTAGTCTCCAGAGAGACACTGTTGCTCTTGAGTACTTTAGAGAGGTCCCTAACAGCATGCTTTCCCATTTTCTTTTAGTACCACTTCCACAATTTTTTCAGTGATTTCCCTATCCCTCTCATGTTCTGGATTCCAATAATATGTGTGTCATCCCACATGATTCTAATTGCACATTTTCTCTAAGTCTCATCTCTGAGTTTTCTTCTAGGATGTTTCCATTTAGGTATTCTAGTTCATTGGCTCTGCTCCATCTTTTCTGTTCTACTTTTTTTGTGCTTCAAGTATGTTGGGCACTTCTACCATGTCAATCTTAATATTCTGGATTACATTTTCATGTCTTTCTGTTATTTCTAGAACTGTATTGGCAGTACCCTCTCGATATTGTGATGACTTTTTGAGTTCTTGTACCTCTTCCTCTATAGTCTCTCTTCTTTCTTCCATTTCTCCTGCCCCATTTTCTTCTGTATTTGTGCAAGTTCCTCTCATCAATGTATTTCTTCTATCTCTGTGTCCTTGGAGCATTTGCTTTCTTGGTCATTTTCCAATTTTTTCCCCATAATTTGCACCTTCTTCTGTAGCTGTTCAAATTATATATATATAATTTCTCTACCTCTAGTTTATTCCCCTTATTTGTGGCTTCCATTGTTGGAACCTGTTTGAAGGTTTGCATATCAACATATATCATCTGCCTTCTTGACTCTGGGGTATTCATAACATCTTTAATACTCTCTGCTTTTCTTGGAGAAGGTTTAATTTGTTTATTAATTTTTGAAGCTGCCTGTTACTTTCTTGGCATTATATGAAGCTTTTCTTGGTATGTGTAAGGCTGTTTTTATTGCGTCTGCCAAAGTTGTTGGTGCTTCCCTTTTTAATGCTACTGATTAGTTGCCAAGTTAAAATGTGGTGAGCTACTCACTCCACTACAAATTCTTTCAGGGAAAATTTGCCTTTCCTAAAATCCTCTATGCTCTCTCTGTTATGCCCTGCAGCCCTGTAGCAATCTTACCTTGAAGTAGTCCCCTAACACCAACTCTGTAGTCTTCCTTCATGTATAAAGTGGCTAATTGGTGTATATCTGTGTTTCATTGACTATGCAAGGGTGTTTGACTGTGTGGACCATAACAAACTGTGGCTAACTCTGAGAAGAATGGGAATCCCAGAACACTTGATTGTATTAATGCGAAACCTATACTTGGACCAAGAGGCAGTCATCAGAACAGAGCGAGGAAACACTGCACGGTTCAAAATTGGCAAGGACATACTCCAGGGATGTGTCCTGTCTACATACATTTTCAACCTGTATGCGGAACAGATTATCCAGGAGGCTGGGCTCTTTGCGGAGAAATGTGGCATCAGGATTGGTGGAAGATCTATCAACAGTCTGCGTTATGCAGATGACACAACCCTGCTTGCTGAAACTGAGGAGGGCCTGAAGCGCTTGCTGCTGAGGGTCAAGGGCTGCAGACTTCAGTATGGATTGATGCTTAACGTCAAGAAGACAAAGATTCTCATCACTGGGCCAGTTGGCAGCATCAGGATGGATTGTGAAGAGATTGAGATTGTTCACAGCTTTAGTTTGCTTGGCTCCACAGTCAACACTCTTGGCACCAGTAGCCAGGAAATGAAAAGACGTATTGCAATGGGAAAGTCTGCTGTTAGGGACCTCTCTAAAGTTCTGAAGAGCAATGTTGTCTCTCTGGAGACTAGGGTATGTCTGATACAGGCCATGGTCTTTGCTATCACTTGTTATACATCAGAGAGTTAGACAATGACCAAGGAGGATAGAAGGAGAATTGATGCCTTTGAGCTGTGGTGCTGGAGAAGAGTATAGATTGTACCATGGACTGCTAGGAAAACATTCATCCTGCAGAAGATTAAACCTGCTGCTCCTTGGAGGCAAGGATTCTGAGGCTCAGTCTAACATACTTTGGACATGTTGTAAGGAGGGACCAGTCCTTGCAGAGGGACATCATATTTGGGAGGGTGGAGGAACAGCACAAGAGAGGAAGGCCCTCTATGAGATGGATTGATTCAGTGTCTGGGGTAATTGGTCTGGGTGTGTTGGAGGCAGTGCGATTGGCACAGGACAGAGCACAGTTTAGGACTGTCGTACACAGGGTGGCTATGAATCACAAGCCACTTGACAGCACATAACAGCAACAACAAGTGGTGTGAGACCAGGTGATTTACTCAAGCAGTTTCTTATGCACCTTTTCTCCTGGAGCTTAATGTCTTCCTTTGTCTCTGTCTTGGCATGAGACTAGATCAGAGCTATGGGAATTCTTTCCTGTGCTTCAAGTACTGTATACTAAATTATCTTGTCCTGTTTGGTACCTAGGATAAACTCACAGCCGCAGAGGCAAGAAACCCCAGATGGATGGGCCTATCACCTCAGAGACGCCTCAGTCCTGCCTCCCCACAAGGAATGGAGAGTGCTTACTCTTGTCACAGAGCACTCCTCACCTTTTCTCTTACACCTTAGTGTCCTCATTTGTCTCTGGTGTGATGGGAGATCAGGACCTCTTGCTTGGGCCACTTGTGTCTAGAGGCTCTCAGGTCAGTCCTCTGTTACAGAGAGATAAGACAATATTTTTTCTGTGCTTGAAGTTCTGTATACCAAGATCTCTTGTCCTGTTTGGTCCCGGGTATGGCCCTGCTGGCGCCAAAAGTAAGGACACCCAGATGGAGGGTCCTATAACCCCCAGGACACCTCAATCCTGTCTCCTCAAGCAATAGAGAGTGCTCTAACATATTTTCTTTGACTAGGCATGGAGAGAATGCCAAAGAGAGCATTTATGCAATTTCACAAATATAAAATTTTTAATATTATTTATTTAAATGCCTTTTGGAAAATAGTTACTCATTCTGTTGAACCATGTTTATGACTATAGAGTAGGGAAACAAACAGATTGTGAATTACTGAATTTGGTAATTCCAAGCATATGATTGATGCTGCTGTTATGTGCCATCAAATCGCTTGCGACTCATAGTGACCCTATGTACAAGAACCCTAAACGCTGATCTATCCTGTGCTATCCTTGCCGTCTCAAACACACTCATTCCCACCACTCCATGCACAGAATCAATCCAACTCATCGAGGGTCTTCCTCTCCCAAACATGATGTCCCTCTCCAAGGACCAGTTCCTCCTTGCAACATGCCCAAAGTATGTCAGACGAAGC